CCCCAAAACCCCAAAACCCCAAAACCCCTTAGGTCAAAATTGTGTTAGTTTAGCTTGGAAATTACATATCAAAGGGTAAAATTATTATTTAATAATAAGTAGTAATCATGGAATCTCTAAATCTTTAAGATATCGGAGTAGTATTCAATACTGAGAGTAAATATTTTTTATTTTCATTTATATTAAGGCTTTGGACCTGTCTCCGCCCAATAGTGGGAAAACTTTGATGGCAAAATATATCAACCATACAATAAAAGGGAAAAGATTGGAAAAATCGCTGATTTTGTGACAACAATCGCTCAGCAAGCTTTAGTTAATGCAAATATCGTCACCTAGGCATAAGCAAACAAACAAAAGCCAGTTACAGTGTCAGGTCCAGCCACTGAACTTCTCAACGAGGAGGAGAAAGGATTCGAATTAGTTGAAAGTGATAAGATTATCAAGAAACCAAAGCCATAAACTGCTATTTAAAACAAGAGAAACCCCAATTAATACCACAACTAAAGAGGTTAATAAAGAAATTGGAGAGGTGGCAGAGGTGGAAGAGTAATTTTAATTTTGTTGTGTTTACCAATTATATATAGGGTGGCTACCAAAAAAATAATGATTATGGTGGATTCATTCATCAATGGCATGGAAAGAGAGGATTCAGAGAGGCCTCCATCGAAGTAAGAGGTGACTGGCCAGTCATTGAAGAACTCAGCAAAAATTAATTGGAAAAACTTAACCCTGTCTCAGCTAATCTACTGAATACTTTGTAATCTTTAATTTGCATAATGCATTATTTAGAGTTCAATGTGGAGAAGTCCATGCATACAATAAAGATTTTGATAAGTCAAGAACTACTAAGCCCTACCCTTTAAATCACTTCAAGGGACAGATATTCAATTTCTAAACTGTAGACGATCCAGTCATTCAAAGATTGGCAACTGAGAAGAAAGCTCACGTTTTCGCCACTGAAACTGCAGTAGCTGCAATCATGACTGCTCCAAAGAGTTTGTACTCTTGGGATGTTAGTATCAAGAAGTATCAAGATATTCTCTTCATTGATAAGAGACCTGAGGAAAATATCTTAGACTTATTAACTGTCAATGAGACCTCTTAAGACAATCAACCACTAGATGATGAGAGTATTAATGGAGTTAGATAGCTTATGCAAGAAGCAGTGAGAGTTAATAACTCATGGAAGTATCAGTAATACAAAAAGGACAAGAAGGTAAATCTCGCTGAGAAAGATCCATTCATTGAAGTTGAAGATCAAGTTGCAGCTAGATTAGGATATATGTACAAAATATGGGATATCGGCAATAAGAAAAAGATCTGTATTAGATCAACTGTCCACTCATACTTACAAAAGCCAGGACAAGAGGAAGATAACTTGGAAAATCAACCAAAACAAACTTATCAAAACACTTATGCCTTCCTCGAGTATGAAGCTAACAAAAGTAACTGGAAGCAAAATCTTGACATGATGATGGCTTAATGTTTAACTAAAGAGGTTCAGGATAACTCTACTAAAGTATCCAGATGGGTAGTAGAGAGTTTACTAGCTGGCGTTGAGCACATTAAATTCGCCTTTGTTTCCAGACAAAACAATAAGGATAACGCCAAGCATTTAGTTCTAGGTACTTATGGTATTGCAACTCAATCCTTCTCTAATCAAATTAATCTTAACATGCAAAACTGCTGGGCTATATTGAAGGATACAATTGATGGGATCTATCACTAGAATGAACCAACTGGGGAGTACATTTATATGAAAGATCCTAACAAGGCTCTTATGAGAATGTTCAAGGTCACAACTGAGGAAGAAGAAGAGGATGAGCCAGAAGAAGAGTTATGAATATGATTCATTAATTAAATGTCTATATATTTATTAATCATCCTATACACAATAGATTATAACTTAAGGGGTTTTGGGGTTTTGGGGTTTTGGGGTTTTGGGGTTTTGGGG